TGGGACTTGCATCAGGGGTAAAATTCTGCTAAATGGAACAAGGAAAAAGTCAAAAGAAGCTTTTTATGTAAGAAAAAATTAGTTAAACGGAATTAAACACACTTTCATTCTATTCAGTGCTGTTAGATGATCTGTAACTTCTAGCTTATGGTGGAAATATTAATAAAAATAAGTTAAGTAAACTTAATGATTATTTTGCAAAGGACATTGCTAATAGTTTGCCTTATTAACTCTCTCTACTAGTGTTTCTTGTAATAAATGTTTTATCATTTAAATTATGCTATAATTCTAACTTCTCGTACAGTTTACTTAAAAAATAGCCATGCTTTGACTTCGCCGAGACAGTAATATCTGAAGGTCAAGTGAAAATGCTTACTTGAGTGAATTTTCCATGCAAAGTGAAGTGGCCATGATAAATCTCAGTTGCTACTGTTGATACTTTTCTAGCCTGAAAAATGCATGGCGAAAGTCTGAAAAAGGAGGCCACCGTAGAACATGTAAGGAGAATATTTTTCAAGTAAATATTTTAGAAATGTTCTTCAGTTATGAAGCAAAGAAATTGTTACACTCATGCTTTTTTGCTTTTAAAACATCTTTCTTGGAACACTGTCGTGATTGGTAGCCTATAAAAATCTCTAATAATCTTATATTTGTTAAGATAACTATGCCATGAAAGTCAACTTAAATCCCAATGCCACTCACATGTAATTTATTTTTAAAGTGAAAACAAATCTCTCCACATCATAGAGAAGGTGGGTTTCCATACCTCTCATACCTTAAGATAACAGACCACTTCCATATCTATGACTGTGAACCCTTCTTATTTTCCACACCTCATTCACAGAGACGACATAGTGGACAAAGCAGCCACTGCACACATCTGGTTTCTCCTGCTTTCACAGTGCTCGGCAGTGACGTAGAAACAAAGATGGAGGAGCTGAGGGAACTGGTCCATCTGTTTCTGCTGAAATCCCAGTTTTTTTTTTTGAGTGAGAGACAGGATCTGTGGTGGTGATGATGCAGAAGCAAGATGGAGGAACAGAAGGGACGGAGCCCACATCTGTTTCTGCTCAGCAAGCAGCTCAGTTCTGAGGAAAAGGGCCTGTAGAGCTGGCTTTACTAGAGAATGGACGCTCTGCTGGCCAAGTAAGCCTGCTGCCTTGCTGGCACTGGGGCAACAGCCACACACACACACACACATAAAGCAAGGGCATCAAGGGCAAAGCGTAGGCGGCTATGTGTGGTGTGTGTGTGTGTGGTATTCTGGATTGGACTTGACTTGGATGCATCTGGCCAAGGAGCAACTTTGTCGGAATGTTTGTACTCTGCTCTTTAACTTTGCGCCTCTCTGTCTTTCCATCTCTGCCTTCTCTGCGATAAAGAGAACCTTGCATCCATCTCTGTCCTCTCTCATCTGTCCTTCAAATCCAGCATTCCACCCCCTTTCTCGCCGTTTGCCCCCCTATCCTCTGGAGCCTCGTGGTCTGATTGTTTTACAGGAAGCCCAGTCACGGGGTGTTTGAGCATATGTGTGGTTGTGTGTTGGTGTGCGAGTGTGTTGTGTGATATATCCAGCTGACTCAGCCTGATCTCCAGCCCTGTACTGAGACCCTGGTAGACCAAACAACAAATGACACGCTGACATGCTCCTATCTGTCAAGAGTGTTATGGTTGTTTGGGTTGTACAGTATGTGGCACATGAAACTATGAATCCCATAAGCTGAGATGTTGATCTCACTTCCCTTTTCATCCTGTGGCTGATTTTAGCTAATTCCCTCTAGTGTGTGCGCGCACACGTGTGTGTGTACTGTAAGCTGTGCAATCTCCCTTTGTTGCAGCGCAATAAGATGTTTGGTTTTGGTTTGCATTTGCAGGTGTCAACTTGCATGTGTACAGATGTGTTAGCTCTTTAGTGTGTACGTGTTTGAATGAGTTGAATTAAAATCTTTTTTTCTCCTTTTTTTTCCTTTTCTAAATTATTATAATGACTATTATTGTGAAAAAATGTTAAAAGGAATTGTTTCCATACTAATTAAGTCCAGTGTACACGTTTGATTGTGTTATGTGGACATTTTCCTGGATGGAGTTGGTGGTGCTGTTACATTTTTTTAAAGATCATTTTTCAGTGCTGTGAGCAACAAAAACAAAATTCCAGTCACCAACATTGCATGGATGTGGAAAACAAACTCAATATTCAATGCAATATTCTGACAGTAAATTTATATTCCTAACATGGTT